GTCTGGCCGCCCTGCTTATCTGGAAACTGCTTATCACCATCCATGATCGCCGTGAATTTGCTAAGTTCGAGGAGGAGCGGGCACGTGCCAAGTGGGAAACGGTTAGTGAAGTGTAAAAATACTCACAAAATACACTATGTGCATACTGCTGTACATTTCAGACAGAAGATAAGTGATCAAAGACGATACATAACAAAACACATTTTCACTCACACACCCCTCTGTTTAATGTAAAAAGATCAAGTCACTGTGTCTAAGTAGCTTGGTGAACTATAGATGTTGGCAGGATGGTTTTACTGTTTCAGTGGCATGCTGTTTTCCCCCTCAGAACAAAGGAAACGCCTCCGTACCCTTGGGCAAGTTTTGTTTTAAATTATCCATGCTAATTAGGCTTTCCCCGTGAGGTCTCGAGCCACATGTGAACTCTCTGATCCTTTCACTTCAGAGTTCCCCACTTAAACTTGACCACTTAACCAGCTAAAAAAAATATGTTCCAAGAACGTTTTGCTAACATTCCCATTTAGTTATTGAAACGTTATTTCTGATTGTTCACTAAACTTCTAGTTTATTGCAGTCGCCCTGAATCAATAATTGTATCCTTTCAATAATTGCATCTTTGATAATCAAAATGACATATTCAAGTTTTTTTCCTGTCAAGATTATTTTGTCATGCCTTTAAATAGCTCAAATGTATAACCCTTGCTTTATTTAGTATACGCGGATCTTTAAATATGCAAATTAGTCCCCGCCTCCACTCAATCAAACACTGTAGTAAATGCTATATAATGCCAAGTGGAAATATTGGTTTAATTCAGCCATATATGTTTGAACTAGAAACTGATTCAGAAGAAGAAGTGGAAGAGGAAGTGGAAGAATTATACAGGGTTGTCTACAAGACTATGTATCAGAATGGTAATGCGTTTTATGTAACGCTCACTACCACGCCGGACACATACCGTTAATTGATATGATTAGCTTTTGCTTGACTATCAAACAGCTAATAATGTGTTGCTAATTTTACACAAACCCTGTTCTCGTTCGCCATCTCAAAGTCAGACAGCTGCCTTCTAAAAAAAATCAGCATCCTTAGAAATGCTTTGAACATCATAGAAAGTCAGTGGAGAAAGGCAGTGAAGAAAGTTTATCATAACATTGTAATATAGGCTGCATCATATACAGTTCACCCGAAATATTGCTGTATCCGATTTTTCCTGTCCCTTCTTAAAGGATTAGTTCACTTTAAAAAAAACTTTTGCTGATAATTTACTCACCCCCATATCATCCAAGATGTCCATGTCTTTCTTTTTTCAGTCGAAAAGAAATTAAGGTTTTGATGAAAACATTCCAGGATTTTTCTCCATATAATGCACTTTGCTGGGCACCAAACGGTTCAAGTTCCAAAAGACAGTTTCAGTGCAAACTGCAAACTGTTCAAATGGCTTTAAACGACACCAGACGATGAATAAGGGTCTTATCAAGCGAAACGATCGCTCATTTAAAAAAGAAATAACAAAGTTTAAGTTTTATAAGCTCAAATGCTCGCCTTGCTCTGTTCTGTGTGACTCTCCTGTTCGAACTCGTTCATCAAAATGAACGAATCTTTTTCCGAGTCAATTCGTTCATTTCGTTCGTTAAATGAACCAAATGACTCGAAAAAAGATTTGTTCATTTTGATGAACGAGTTCGAACAGGAGAGTCACGAACGTGCATCACAGAACAGAGCAAGGCGAGCATTTGACATTATTAAACTTAAACTTTGTTATTTATTTTTGAAATGACCGATCGTTTCGCTTGATAAGACCATTATTCATAGTCTGGAATCGTTTAAAGCCCTTTGAACAGTTTGCAGTTTGCACTGAAACTGTCTTTTGAACCTTGAACCGTTTGGTGCCCAGCAAAGTGCATTATATGGAGAAAAATCCTGGAATGTTTTCATCAAAAACCTTAATTTCTTTTCGACTGAAGAAAGAAAGACATGGACATCTTGGATGACATGGGGGTGAGTAAATTATCAGCAAAAGTTTTTTTTAAAGTGAACTAATCCTTTAAAGGGTTTCTTATACGCAATGATAAGAAAAGCCCCATCCCACATGTTGATGGGATTGGTTACATGTTTGTGAAGGTAGGAAACAGGGGCGGTTTCAAACGGCGTTTTTGAGACTCTCTTTGATATTCAGCAATGGTGCTGACAAATGAATTTGCACATGGTTTGTCTTAAAGCATATTAAAAACACCACATTGACATATAAACAACATTAAAAACTTGATATGCACCACAGGGGGTCTTTAAACATTTGAAAATTTGGCTATGCAAACATTAAGGGAACATTTTATCATTTTGCAAACATTATGGGAATGTTGCTTTTGAATGTTCTCTAACCATTCTGAAACAAGTGTTAACATTAAAAAATGTTAGACGAACGTCCAAATAAAACGTCTCAGAAAAAAAGTCCCATGAAGGATGTATAAATACCAACATTTTAAGAACCTTTTTAAAGACCAGATATCTCTGAATGAAGTGAATGTTCTATTAATGTTACTGGAAGAATGTTTGCTCATAACTTTTTAGAGAACCTAGACTGGTATAAATGCACACTGTTTTTTCTTATTCTGACATTTTTATTCTTGTAGGGTCACAACCCTCTCTACAAAGGTGCCACATCAACATTCACAAACATCACATATCGAGGCAAGGACTGACCGCAGAGAGCAGAGGATGAACTGGACAGAGTTCATAAATGTATATGGTTCAAAAGTGTTTCCTTCGAAGTTTCTTTTTTTAATTGCGTAAATTGAACACGAACAGGAAACGGTTGTACATATTTTGTTGTTGTACATATGTAAAGTCAAAAATGGCACCTCTGTGGGAGTCTTTCTGTTTGTCACTGGATGAATGATAATCTTTACATTTGCTTCTTACATAACTATATTTGTCAGTACTGTGTTAGTCACACACACAACAAAACATTTTCTTCCTCTCTCTGATCCGTCACTCTGTGTAGTGACAGATATGAATGATAAAAAGCCTGAGCGATCTTTCCAACTATTAAAGGGATTGTTCACCCAAAAATGAAAATTTACTCACCCTCATGTTGTTCCAACCCCGTATAATATTCCATGTGACTACAGTGGCTCAACTATAAGTTTATTAAGCGACGAGAATACTTTTTGAGCGAAAAACCCCCCCAAAAATAACGACTTTATTCGACTATTCCTTTTCTTCCTTGTGGGCCTGAGACGAGAGTTCAAGAGATTTCCACGACGCATGTGCGAGAACTGAACAAAAAGTAGTAGAAGAAGAACGTCCTCTTCTCAGTTCTCGCGCATGCGTCGTGGAAATCTCTTGAACTCTCATCTCATTTTTGTTTGTTTTTCCGCACAAAAAAAATATTCTCGTCGCTTGATAAACTTATAGTTGAGCCACTGTAGTCACTTGGACTATTTAAACGTTTTCTTCAATGACTTTCTGGGCCGTCAAGTTTCACTCCCTTAGGAAGCCTATGTAGCAGTGATCCAGCTCTCAGATTTAATCAAAAATATCTTCATTTGTGTTCCGAAGATGAACGAAGGTCTTACGGGGTTGGAACAACACGAGGGTGAGTAATTAATGACTTAACTTTCATTTTTGGGTGAACTATCCCTTTAATGGCATGTGGTAACACTGAATCCCTCATCGTGAACATGAAATATTCTTAGCTGTTCTCTTCGTTGTGGTCATAGCTGTATTAATATTATGCATCTACAATATCTTAGAGGTAGCTTTATCACACTGGCCTTTAGTATGCAGTTTTGGTAGGATTGTATAAAAATGTATAAAAATATGCCAAGGTTTTATGTCTAGCATTTTTACAAAATATACACAATGTAATTATTTGTCTGGCAGAATAACCTTAAAAGACAAAAAGTACCTCACAGCTCAAGTGCAAAAAAGTATAACATATGTTTTGTGTTAATTAAATAGTTAACCAGAAATGAATAAATATTTGTCAAATGTTTGTTTATATATATAATAAATTTAATGTGATACACTTAAGTGTAATGTCATTACCTGTCCTAATATCTAGTAATGCCACATACTTAAATCTTAATAGCAATAAACAAAAAACATATAAATTTATCATGATATATGTATCAATGTTTTTTTAGTCTGGTTAAAATGTATTATTTTAATTACTATTAATTGATATTAATTTAATAATATTTAATAATGACTAATTCTAATACTCAATTTTCGTTGGTGTGCGAAGGTTTCCGTGACTGTTATATTGAACTAGGCTACAGCACCACCTACTGGATTGATGTTACAAACACAACTCTAGTGATTTTGTTTCCTTCTTTATCAAGGTAATTGTGTAAGATATTTAGGTTTATAGGTTTTACGTGCAGCAGATAATTTACTATTGGAAATTTACATTTAGGCTACTGTATATCCTCAATATATTTTGTATGGACATTTTTTTTTAATCTGACTCTCTCAAGTGTAACAGAGTATCCATGTTATTGTTAAATATATGCAAAATGGGACAGCAGGGACAGCTAGTAAATCCGAAACACTTTGTCACACCAGATATCATAAAGTGGGTCATTCATTGCTAATCGCAATCATATACTTATGTACGTATTGTTAGGCGTTCAAGCTAATAATAAATGTAGCAATTTGGATTATCAAAACCAAGCGAATAAGAGTGTCACACTTTATCTTTATTCACACTATTTGTCAGATAAAATAAATAAAAAGTCATATTTTTTGTTACCTTATTTAACTAACGTAGCCTATCAGCTCTAAATAAATAACAACATAATTAAAAAGTCATATATTTGTTGTAACATTATTCCACTAAAATGTCAGCTCTAACTAAATAAATAAAAGTAAGGTAACTAACGTTTCAGCCCTAAATAAATAAATGTTACGTTATTTTCGTATTGTAAGAGGCGTCGCCAGGATCACTTTACGTGCACGTCAATGCGAGAGAGAGAGAGAGAGAGAGAGAGAGAGAGAGAGAGAGAGAGAGAGAGAGAGAGAGAGAGAGAGGATGCTGAAATACTGAAGACTGTGTCGGGATCATAGTCAGTCCTACTATCAGCGTCAAAGATCCTGGAAATGTGCAGGTGAGTTCATTAAATCACATCTCAATCTTTACACATAATGTAACGTTAGATCTTTAAAAAGTACAGATGACCACACAAGTAGATAATCAAAAATAAGACAACACCCTGGTGCTCTTCATGAGCAGCATCTCATCCACTAACGCTAGCAGAGAAGATAACATCTCACGTCACTCACTATAGCCACATAAATGCGTTTCGACATAATTTTAATGTCTATCTATGTCATATCTGTTCGTGTAAATTTAAAGCGCACCATCACTGCTGTTGTTGTTGTTAGCCTAACGTCAGCTCAGCTAGCTCGTGGCTAAGTTACATTAGCATTAGCCGGGATACGCTATAGTATAGTGAAAATTGAAGGGTTATCTTGGTGTCAGTGGTATTTAAAGAGAAACATGTCAGAAGTGATGTTTCTGGTCCTCGATACATGTGTTGGCAGTAGATTTGATGAAGTAGATATGGCATATTTATCGTTCAGTTGTTAGACCGACCGTTTAAACAAGCCTGACTTGTCATCTGGACAGAGCGCATCAGAGCTCCTTAAGAGTTTACTGCTAGAAGAACTGAAAATCAACATTTAATTTTTAACAAGGCTATATTCTTTGAAGGTGTATTATTTTCCAACTTTGCCCCTTTATGTAGTTATCTTAGTGTGCATAATTATATATATTTGGCTGATGTTTCTGAAATTAATAGACTTATATTAAATATCTATTTTCTTTTGGTAATAATTAGCAATATTTAAACATCTCTCCTCCTTTCTCCATTTTGTGAACACATTTACTTTCTCAGAGGATGATTCGTTTATTCATGAGACTATTTTTGTCACTCTTTATTTGTTTCATTTTATTTGCGAATGTTTTCAATTTTAATTAAATTTAAAAAGTAATGCATAAACATAACATCACCATTAATTAATTTCCCCTTCCTTTGCGGATCTGCTGTGTTTTAGGTGAACTGTAAATACAGTATTTAAGTGGTTCCATCGGGTGTTGACAGTTTTTATTTTACAGTCAGACATCATTTATAACCAACCAGAACTCTTTTTCAGTGAAAAAATAGGAAAATGACCTGACTATTGTAAGTAAAACAGATTTTAAGGATTTTAATAAATGGATACCAGCTTAAGTTTGACACGCAATGAGAAATCATGATTAAGAAAGAATGCATAAGGAAATAGAAAGAAAAATGGAAAGGTGGTGAAGTGTGGGTGTGCCGGGAAAGCTTGGGAGTTTTAGTTGTCTTCGTGCTTTAAAACATTGTCTTGTGAAAGTAGAGCAGATGCGACATTGAGTTTAGTACATCTGACTAAATATTTGTCGTCTATAAAGGACTAAATTAACTGTTCTTCTGACTCCTGTTTAGTTTTGAAATCATAGTTCCTCAGTAAAGAGCCTTTGCTATGTCAGGCTATGACCTATAACCAGAGGGTGTTTGTGAACGGGACACATGGAGCTTCTATGGGTTTGTTGGGTCAGACTGCACACAGCTCTGTATTGATTATTTGGGACACCAGTAGCCCATGTAGAGGTGAACTGAGGTGCACGCTGCTGCCAGTTTAACTTTACACACATGAAAGATCTAGCTCAGTGGTTCTCAACTGGTGGGTCATGACCCAAAAAGGGTCACAGGTCTGTTCTGATGGGGTCATGGATACAAAGCAATGCTAAATGCAAATAGTCATGCAGCTAAATAAATACACTACTGTTCAAAGGTTTGGGGTCATTTATTTATTTATTTAACAGGGACCATACAGTCAAACATAGTCACAATAAAAAAGCCTGTAACTGATGCGCAGCATATAGAGTTTGTAGCTAATGCTAATTTTCAACTCCTGTCCCTGGTTGGGCATTTCTATTTTAAGTTTAATATTTCCCAATATTACTGTTTTGTTTTTCACTGTGATTTTTGTTATATAAATGCAGTATTGGTGAGCATAAGAGACTTCTTTCTAAAATGTTGGCAAATCTTGCCAACCCCAAACTTTTGAACAGTAGGATGGAAGGATTAGACAATTTCCATATCTTTTGTGGTTGAAGTCACAGGTGTGCATCCAATAAAACTCAGGCTGCATCTGAAATTTCATACTTTCCTACTATATAGTAGGTGAAAAACTATGTGGCAAAAGAATAATGTTCGAATTCACAGTACTCATAAAACAGTAGGCAAAAATGACCCGGATGGCCTACTACTTCCGACGAGATTCTGAAGTGTGCTGGTATACATGGTGAATGTAGTATGCCCGGATTACATTGATACTACACACATTCATAGTATATAGAATGTGTTCTTTTTAGCGCTGGCACAGTAAGAACTTTATCAAAATAAGTAGGCCTTGCTATTCAAGAGAGCATGCGATTTCGGACGCAGCCTCAGTATTTTGGCACAAATCCATCTGTCATTTGGTAGACACAGCCAACTTTGGCGTGACATGTTTTCATCCTCAAAAACCATAACGTTGCATTAATATGTTTGCATATTATTTGGCTAATGCAGTTTATGGTAATATCAATATTTGATTTTGATTACATTTTTGTTTATTTTTGTATGCTAAAGAATATGTGTGCTTTTTGTGTGATCTCACAGGTTTATCTGTCATGGATGCAAATATAATACCAAAATTTGCCTCCAAAGACGAGGAAATTGACTTCTGGAAGGCTCTTTCGCTGAAGTACAAGAAAAGGTAAGTGGCAGTACAGTGAGCAGCATTTTTCTGTTGTTTTGTAGTCTGACACCTGAGTTTCGTTCATGTTGTCCTGCTATTCATATTTTCTTTTGAAAAAAAAAAAAAATTGCTTGCCCTGAAGCAATGCATGTGAATGCTGGGAATAAAACCAATGCAACCTGTTCCCTTACTTGCATTATGACGGCCGTATCAAGGAATTTGCTGAATGTTTGAAGACTTCCTCTCAGTCACATTAGTCTGTTTACCTTATGCAATCTGCCACAGTGGGAATTTCCTTCAATGGGTTTAGCTTTTGTGATTTGATATAGACTCCCGCTGCTAATTTTACCATTGAAAAACTCTTAGCGGCATTGTAACAACAAGCTTGTTGCTTGGTAAATTGCATCCCAAAGCAGCATTTCTCAACTCCAGTGTGGAGTGTTTCAGACTCCCGTTATGTAACGACACTCGGATCATTGGCAGGAAAAAGGGGAAGCCGATGGCATTTACACACACAAAAACTTGGTACACCCAAGTTTGCGATTAACAGTCTTCTGTATGGGTTACGTCTGATTACATAAACAACTGACGGGGGTTTAAAGCTCAAAGAAATCCCTCTATATAATCTGAATGAGAGATTCAATCTACATTGTTCTTTTTGGATTGTGTGACATCTGTCTGTCAAAAACATCCACAATTGTGTGTGCATCTTGTCGAAGAGAGGTGTGTTATTAATTTTCTAAGCAATGGGATGGTTTTCGCCTGGTGGATGGGATGGAAAATCCCATAAATCTACTTGGACCGAGGGAACCAAGTCATAGAGATTTGTGGATTGGGCTTTTTTGATTTGGGCTGGTTAGCAATCACCCAGAACACACTAGCAACTACTCCACAATATGCTGAAAACACCCAGAACACCTAAATGGTAAAGGGTTACCTTGTGGTCTGTGTGTGCCTTTGTATAGTCACATTTAAACGGGCTTTATGTAGAATTCAGAAACCCTTGTTATTAGTTTGTTTCGTGTGTCATAGAACGGAAGAGAGGCTCTCGGGAGCGTGTGTAAACGTCACATCCTTTTGATTTTCCCAGTAAAAACATCCTGAGTCCTTTACATAAAAATCAGCCTACAGGCTTTCACAGACAACCTAGGAAATCATGGAAGGCCTAGTTTTTTTAAGTTACATTACACATTGGCAATAAAAAATGCTATTAATACAATTCTTACATATAGCCCCTTTAACTGAATAAAACGCTATTCACACAAGTGTTATTTTCATTGAGATACTATTTTTATAAATATTTTTAATAAGTTTCTGCATTTTCTATTTTCATTTTAATTAAAGTTTTAGTAATTTAATGGGTTTTTATTAAATATAATTTTGTCTATTTAGGTTTTATTCATTTTTATTTCAGAGTTTTTTCCAGCTGTTGAATGATTAAAAACATTGACAGCCAATCAGAATCCACTTGGCTTTAAAAAGCTTGAGCATTTTATGTGGCAGACAACATAACTGCAAAGCGCACTTATAATAAACAGAAATGTATTATTTGCTGGTGTGGATGTTAATATAGTTTTCTTTATAATTATTTGTACAGTTATTGTTCTTGGTGTGAATGGGCGGGCCTTAATACAATGTTAACTGATGACATACAAATGGGAATTAGCTGTGCTATCAAAAAGGGGTCATTTCATTTGATTTGCCTTAGAGCTGTTTTAGCAAAGCACATCATAGTGTCTGCAGGGTGGCTCTTGTTCATTATGATTTAAGACGCACATTTGAAGCACAGGCTCCTCTGGGTCTCACTGACATGCAATACTACACATTTCTGACCCGCTAGTAAAACACCCTAATCAGCACTTCAGAGACTGCACAGAAATGAGTCACAGATGTTGTATGTTGCTGATTCTCTCCTGTGCTGCCAGGGGAACATGTACTTTTCACCTACCGTGTCTCCTAGCTCACGTGGCTGTAGCATGACTGGGTAGGGAAATATTGCTCCGATGCCATTTTTAGATCCTTCCCATAATGCTGGCTGGTGATTACATAAAGAGGCCCAGGGCAGAGCACTCTCCTCTGGTCACTGGTACACTGTAAACAAAACTGTTTATTTACAGCAGATCTGCATGAACCCTGTCTCATTCACACTGTGCTAGTAACAGAGTCAGCTAAGATCACATTCAATAAATAAGTTATCTGAGTATTTTTTTCAAACATGTTTTTGTGAGAAATCTCTTATGCTCACAAAGGCTGTATTTAAGTACAGTAATATTGTGAAATATTTGTAATTTGTAGTTCAAAATACTGTTTTCTACTTAAATATATATTTCAAATATAAACTATTGCTGTGATTGCAAAGCTGTATTTTCAGCAGCCACTAATCCAGTCTTCAATGTCACATGATCCTTAAGAAATTGTTGCTGATCTGATACTCAAGAAATATTTTTTTTTAATTATTATCAATGTTGAAAACTACGGAGCCCATAAAGGGACATGGTGATGGAAAAATATATTTCAATGCTAGAAACTTTCATTCCTCGCGAAACCTTTGTGTTCCCTCGCACAACTTTTGCTTTCCTTCAAGAAACTTTGGGTTCCTCCTCGCAAAACTTTTGCGTTCTCTCGAGAAACCTTTCCTTCCCTCACAAAACCTTACCGTTCCTCGCAAAATCTTTGCGTTCGTTGCAAAACCTCCCATCTCATATTTTTTTCCCTCATCATGTCCCTTTAGGGGCTCTGTAGACAGTTGTGCTGCTTAATATTTTTAAGGAGATTGTGATTTTATTTGTTTCTTACTTTTTAACTTCTTTCAGGATTCTTTGATGAATTCTAAGATCAAATGCACAGCGTTTTTGTGAAAGAGAAATCTTTTGTAACATTTTAAATGGTGTACTGTCAACGCTCAAGCTCTTTAAAGCATGATGGATTCTGATTGGCCGTCAATGTTTTAATTGTTTATCAACGGGAAAAAATCATTCTGTCTATCATTATCGCACTATCGTTTCTCTGTGCCGTTATCGTTATAGTTGTGGTGTGGACTATTCTTTTATATTTAGTACGTTATTTTAGAACTTTATCGTTATAGTTATTATCCATGGTGTGAATGGGCCTTAAAAGTATTTATTTCTTTTAAAAAAATCCTATTGACCCCAAACTTTTAAATGCTACTGTAAATTAAAATGTAAGTCACCTCAGCACTTCCCAAAGTGAAGTGTGTGGTTTGACAGAGCATGTGAGCATTTGGTGTTCAGTAAGCTATAGTTCAAGGCAAGCACTGTTTAAGAAATACAAACAAATAAAGCTATTTCTAAAGGTTGCTAAACGGTATCATTCCTGATGTGTGTGTTCAGTTATAAGGAGGCACACGAGGAGTTGCTGGAGTTCCAAGAGGGGAGCAGAGAGCTAGAGACAGAGCTGGAGACACAACTGGGCCAAGCGGAGCATCGCATCAGAGACCTGCAGGCGGACAATGAGAGACTGCAGCACGAGCTCGACTCGCTGAAGGTGAGGAGAGTGTGTGAGCTAAACACAGGCTGAGCATGTGTAAAGAACATTAAAGCAAGGGCAGGCCTAAAGAGCGTGTGTCTTTGCTTTCTCTTTCCTGTAGGATAAGCTGGAGTATCAGTATTCTCAGAGCTATAAACAGATCTCTGTACTGGAGGACGACCTCAGCCAGACTCGAGGCATCAAGGAGCAGCTGCATAAATACGTCAGAGAGCTAGAACAGGCCAATGACGACCTGGAGAGAGCTAAGAGGTCAGAAGGCGTCATCTTACCCTTCATCACACATTTCACTAGACCCAGAATGTAAACTGTATCACAGCCAAAATACTTCCCTAAAGATAATATGAAGTGGCATTAATGTTGCATTTAAATTCCATAATGTGATCTAGTACCTTAAAAAATATATTATTTAAAGGGAAGTTAAACTACCGTTCAAAAGATCGATTTTAGGTCAGTGTCTCTTATGCTCAAAAATATGTATCAAAAATACAGTAAAAACTGTAATATTGTGAAATATTATTGCTATTCGAAACAACTGTTTGTCTATTTAAATTTATTTAAAAATGTATTACTGTGATGGCAAAGCTGAATTTTCAGCATCATTACTCCAATCTTCAGCGTCACATGATCCTGCAGAAATCCTTCTAATATACTGATTTGGTGCTCAATAAACATTTCTTATTATTATCATTATAATACCATTTATTATATTTTTATTATTTCTTAATATGTTGAAAACAGTTGTGCCATTTTAATATTTTTGAGAAAACCGGGATACATTATTTTTAGGATTCTGTGATGAATAGAAAGTTAAAGGTATTGTAGGTAGGATTTTTTTTTTTAACTTTTTGCCAAATTTGTTTAAACTTTCTATATATATCAATGCATAATTAAAATGTAAGTACTCTGGAAAAGAGAGTATAAAAATCGAGTGTCTGTAGTCCTCTCAGGGCTGTAATAAACACAGCTACTTATCTCCATTCACTTCCACCCCCTCCATTCTGGGCGCCTTCCAAAACCACGCCCCCATACACACATGAACGCGCGATGCCGACAGCTCACAGCTGGAGGACGCGCTTACCAGCGCCGAGCGGAGAGGAGCAGTGCATGGAGTGACATCATGTCAGACTCACATGTAATAAAATACCTAACTTTATCATTATGAATATAAACAACTAACATGGCTGTTAGTACTCACTATCAAGCTAGCATATCGATACTGGTAAAGTTTAAAATATATTGAGTTTGATTCGTTAACGAGCTAGTAACATAAAGCAAAGCTAAAAACAGGTTGCATTGATACACGTTTTCCCATTACAATCAGTTACACTGTGATGAAGGTGAATTTCGTGTAAGATTCATAACATATACGCCGTGTTTTGCATGTAATTGTGTCTCTTACTAGTCTCTTACCCTCCTCGAGTCAAACGAGTGCGCGCATGTGGGCAGCGCATGTAGCAGCGGGGGTGTTGCCATGGTTGCGAGAGAGTGACAGTCGCCTAATCCAATCCTTTGTTTCGTCCCGGAAGGAAATAATGAGCTGTGTTTAGTGCAGATTAAACGGTCTAGAGTCACTCGATTTGTATACTCTTTTTATCAGAGTACTTACATTTTAATTATGCATTGATATATATAGAAAGTTTAAACAAATTTGGGAAAAAGTTTTTTAGACCAAAAACGACCTACCCTACCTTTAAGAACAACATTTATTTGAAATCAAAATATTTTGTAACATTATAAATGACACTTTTGATCAATTTAAAGCATTCTTGCTGAATAAACGGATTAATTTCTTCTTCTTTTTTTAATCTTACTGACCCAAACTTTTGAACGGTAGTGTTTGAGTGCATGTTGGGTGTACAGTATATATTTGTTTGTTTGTTTTTTTTGTCAGGTTTCTTTATTTTATTGGATAATTTGGTTAATATGATTGATATTATTGGTTAGTAACATTTTCCCCCACTCACACAGCCTTTGTTACATCAGCAAAAAAACAAAACAAAAAAAAACCTTCTGGGAAAGTGACAATCAATTCTGATGAAAGTTTATAAAAACTATTATTTTTTTATTTTTTAGAATAATGTACAGTTGTGAATTGTCCATAATTAGACATTTATTAAGGAAATAAATGGTGTCTATGTCGTCTTTAAAGAGTTCTGCCCTCGTGTGCTTTTCCACTATTCTACAGTAATTTATAGTTTTATTCTGCTTTATTCTGTAACCACAGAGCCACGATTACATCTCTGGAGGACTTTGAGCAGAGGCTGAACCAGGCCATCGAGAGGAACGCCTTTCTTGAGAGTGAACTGGATGAGAAAGAGTCTCTCCTGGTGTCTGTGCAGAGACTAAAAGATGAAGCCAGAGGTATTTACCGACTTTTGTCATTGGTAATTCTAGCTAGTTCCTCATTCTAGGCTACTCAAGTATGTACACAATCTGTTCTGTCAGTAAAAGGATTTTCCTGCGTGCTTGTGGAATGAAGTCCTGTTACATGCTCATCATCATTATTGTCTGCAAGTAAAAGTTATGGATCGACATCTTGCACATTGTCTTAACCCACGGGTATGTGACCGTTTTGTAGATTTGCGGCAAGAGCTTGCGGTGCGAGAGAGCCGGCCGGAGGTGACGAGAATGTCGGCTCCCAGCTCTCCGACTCCAGACAATGACAAAACAGACTCGGCGGTCCAGGCCTCCCTCTCTCTGCCGGCCACACCTCTCAGCAAGAACCTGGACAATGCTTTCACTAGCCAAACGGGTAGACGGATAGATTTCTCTCTGAGGTGTATGCAGTGCCACACGTGTTTGGACGACTCACTTGGTTCTGGTCTTTTGCAGGTCTGGCCAACAGCTCAACTAATGCAGCCCTCACTCCATCTGCTAGAATATCAGCGCTCAATATTGTTGGCGATCTACTGCGCAAAGTTGGGGTGAGTAAAAGCTGTAGACTGAACCTTTGATATGAATGAAAGCTATTCAGACGTATAATTGTTCAGTTTTGTTTTTTGATCGCCGTTTGCATAAACTAATTTGGTGTCTAATCCAAGAGTTTGTTCTGTTTCTTAGGCTTTAGAGTCTAAGCTCACAGCCTGTCGAAATTTTGCCAAGGACCAGGCAGCCAGGAAGAACTATGTCACAAATGTCAACGGCAATCTGATTAACGGCGACCTTTCAAATTACTCACACTCGCTCCACACATCCTACTTCGACAAAGCGTGAGTTGGCCATTTTGTTCTGCCACATTTCAGAAGAAAAACAAAATCAATCAATAAACCATTAGATGTTGATGAGCAGTTACCTTATTTGATCTACGTTACACATAATTACATTGTGAATTTCAATCGGAAGCAATTGTGCAATTTGATCACATAAAGGGCTATAAACAAAGATGCTCCAATACTCAGCTGTTAATTTTCTTGTGTGAGGACTAAAATGAAGGGCAGATTTAGGAAAAGTGTAAGTCTAAAGGCCCTTGCACACTTAGTCCGAAATTTTCGCACGTTAAAAAATAAATACGACCTCACGTTATGTCAATCACGCTTGCACACTGCCTCCAAAACTTTCGCCCGTCATAAAAAAAAAAAAAGGGGTTCGATTTTCTGCGTTTTTCGCACCCGTAGCAAGCAGTTTGAATGGTGTTTTGACAATTCGGAGCCACCGAATCACGAATACGAAAATTTCAGACTCGTGTGCAAGGGCCTTAAGTGATACAGAAATAAATTCTCTCAGACCTGTGTGTGTTTCTCTCCTCAGCAGAAGAGAGAGGGTCATTTTCCCTGCGTTGCTCTTGGGTAAATGATCCAACTAGCAGTTTTATGTGGGGATTCATGCATGCTAGTTAACAACCCCCTGCATATGACTTGGAGTACAATAATCCACTAGGTTAAGATCATATCATCTCCACTAACATCTTGGTGGTGGCTCTAATTGTCTGCTAAGGTGCACTCCATAAGTTTGCTCAAATGTGGTTTATTTAACTGAATGTAAGAGGACTGGGCCAGTGTTTTGACTCTTACCTGAAGAATCAAAACAAGAAAGGCCCTTTTAAAAATCCTGACATTTATGGAGTTCACCCTGAGTGCTAAACTACGAATTTCTCTCCTCATCTGTCTGTCGGTATGAACTGAATTGCAGGATTAGTCTGTTCTAGTCATTAGTTAGATCATGTTCATTCTTCTTGTTAAAGTCAACATGAAACAACATTCGCAGCTCACTTTACTTCCATGGTGTGATACATTTATGAGTGAAACTAGATAGTCAATGAGAAAAAATATAGGACTGTACTTCATTTTATCCATAGGGAAAGCGAAAAGGGGGCATTATTTCCACTGCCATTTACAAGTTTGGCGTCAGTAAGATTTTATGTTTTTAAAGTCTCACCAAGGCTGCAATTATTGATCAAAAACAGTAATATTGTCAAATCTAATAACAGGTAACAAATTTTACTGTTTTCTATTTTAATAAATTGTAAAATGGGATTTATTTTTGAGATGGCAAGCTGAATTTTCATTCTCCAGTTTTCAGTCACATGATCGTTTAGAAATAATATTTTTGTGGAAACTGTAATGCATTTTTTTAAGGGGGAATCTTTGATTAGAGTGTAAAAAAAAAAAACATTTATTTGAAATGGTAAAGACTTAATGTTGTTACAAAATAGTTGTCACTTTTGCTCAATTTAATGCATCATTGCTGAATAAAAGTATAATTTTCTATTAAAAAGAAAGAAAATAAATTACTCCAAACTTTTAAATGGTAGCGTACCAGCACAAACCAGTAAATCTACAGTAGCTAAAGCTGAGCATGGCTGGACAGGTTGAAAAATGTAGTTGTTTCAGAGGCCAATTTTAATAAAAGTTTATGAAGACAAATTTTTTTTTAACATAAATCCAATGAATCATGCATAGTAAGAACAGGAACTCGCATTACAAAAATAAAGCGTATCAATTTTAATTTCATGTTGACTTTAAGCATGTTTAATGAATAAGAAGCTTTATTGTCATTTAATGCATTTGACAAATAAGAGTAATCTCAAGAATCTGCAAATGTGTCTTTTGGCTCAGGAGGGTCTAGATGATCCACACCTCTACCGCAGTGTTACGCAATGCAATGCTGAATCAGTGTGTCCTGGGAAACGGTACAGAGAGGACGTCCAGGGCTTGTGTTTCTGCTGCGTAAGACTTATCAGATCTTTAGATGAGTTCTCTACAGAAATCCAGAGAGTGTTTAGATCAGGATAACAGGACAGCAGAGGGCCTTTGCAGTCTCCAGTATACTTCAGTGATTTGATTTTGTAACAGTGTAGTACTATTACGTTCATGTGTTTCAAGGTAACAAGAACAGACACAGGGATGTGTGGCTGATGACGGTCATCAAATTACCTTTGTACTGATGGACAGTAGAGTGTTTGTGTCTGGTGTGTCTCTTGGGGCCGTATTGAGTGGTTTGCCTCTGCCTGAGAAAATCTAGTTTCGGCATTTGTTCTGCTGGCTTATCTACACCAATTCACTGGCGTATGAGCTTTGCTGCGCATATTAACTGGTTTTGGGAAACCTTCCGCTTCTTTATGCCAAATCCTGTCTAGTTTATCCAGTTGGTGTGGAGTGGACTTAAAAGAAATACTAGCAATTCTAACAGTAGTATGGTCTAATGTCTTGCATTGTACAGGGCTCAAATGCCTCATTTGAAGCATCTAACCTCAGTCTTATGTTTCTGTGAGCACAGCAGGACAGTGAACGGTTTGGATCCCGGGACCGTGACGAACATCAAAGCCCCGCTATGCTCCAACTCTCCATCCGGCCTGGTGCTCACAGTGTAACACTTAAAACACACTCACTCCACTGAAAGAAGCACTATACAGCAATATAACTGTTCCTTTTAATGCACTACTGAATCTGTGTCGAGATTACAGTGGGTTACAACAAGGTTAGTAATAATGCCCAACTGTAGCAGCACCTCATACTAGTCTTTGTTGCAATATCCTACATTTTACTGCTGAAATACCTGTTAATATTTCCTAAAGATGTATATACCCATCTAATATATTTATGGTTACTGTTAATTTAGATATAAACATATACAGTATGTACATGGTTAATTTAGTTTTCTGTATTCTTTGCAAATGTGATGTCTTTTACCACGGTCTAAAAATGTATTTATTGCTGTAGTGTGTTGGAAGGCAATGTATGTGAGATCTGAAAACAAAAGGGAATTTACACTATTAATATATGTTGTGCAACACATGCAGTGTTTGTGTATAAGAAGGTAGAGCTGATATATGAATTATATACTGTATATTGAAGGGAAGATGAAGTGTGGCGATCTGACTATCTAGACTTACATGTGCACTTAAATCACCAATTGTTCAATCTTGGTTCACAAGGTCATTTTTTTTCCGGGTAGGATTTACATTAAGTGCTAATGTGTGCCTCAGATGAGTGAACTTCCCGTATTTTGTCCCTGAAACGTGGCCTGGTGTAAGTATGAAGCGTCTTTGGAGTTGCACATGAAAGATTAGCTTTGGCTTCAGCAGGTTTGCATATTGACAATTGACTGCATTAGTAATACTGTTTGACACATTTAGTCTCAGGTTGGTTTCCCAGCCTCATAGTATTTGTTGGAATATCCATACATAATTTGTTTTCCTTTTTGTGAAGGACACATTTTATTCATTTTGGTTTGAATAGTGCAATGTGTTAAAAAAGCACTTTTTGTTACTTTTGCGTGCTCAAATAAATGGTAGTGTTCTCACGAGTCTGTGTTATTTTAACAAACATTAAAATAATAAAAAATAATGTAATATATTACAAACAGAAGAACCTCAAAATAAGGCTTTTATGCCAACCTGTTATTTTTTATACAATATAATTCATATTGTATTTATTAATATTTTTAATTTGGCTATTATTTTAATATTATGATTTTATTGGCTTCTTGATTTTTATTTTTATTTTTATTTTTTTTGTCATTTTAGTACTTCAACTTATTTTATCTCAAGTTAGTTGCCAAGACAATGTTTCTAATCTTTGTTTAAATGTAAGATTTAAAGTTAGTAGGGTAGGCTATTTTTTCATAAACACTTTGTTATTCTGGTTGAAACTTTCTTCACACCCTGATAGCAATCAATAATAGAAGTGGTCTAAATATTAAAAAATGTACATATATCTTCTGTGGAAGTCTCGGGACCAAAAAATGTTCATCTGAACATTGCATTCATTTGTAATGTTATGTGCTTTGAGGCATTAGGTAATTTAACACCGTCTTTCGTGACACTTTGGAGAGTGGGATCTAATGCAAAGCTAGCTTGCTATTGCTAACCTCTCTGAAATTGCCTACCCTACCTTTAAATAAAAAAGTCATCTAATATATTTTATTTTAGCTGAATTTTATTTCAATTAATGAAAATTATTATAATCACAGTGCAACAACTGATTTATCCGGATTTATTTTTGTTTTAACTGGTGAAATCAATATTAAATGTTAATTAAATATTCATAAAAATGTTATGTTTATACAATCCAAGCATCTTTTTGTGGCAGAAATTAGGAACATCTAGCTTTGGCCCATTCTTTCCTGATTTCCACCATTTGCTTCTTGTATTTGTGTGATGTTAAATCCTCTTGCAAATCCAACTGTTGCAGTTAAATATGATCAAGGTAACCAATCAAATTATTATTGCCAACAAAACAGCTATAGGCTTTGTGTTGTTTGGCTAAATTGTACTTGCTTTATCACCCATGGACTTTCCATGCAACTTCTGTCCCATTTTAGCAACAACAAACAAAATCTTATTGGCAAAAAATGTCCCACGTGTTCCTGGTCAGTGCTGGTTTCCTGCAGGTCTCCTCCGTTCAGTTCATCTCAGCTGCCCCCTGCACTCTTCTTCTCTGTAACTTCATCGAATTGTCTCTGCCTTCTTTCCAGCACCTCCTGTCGCTTGACCTCATTTCGGGATCGCTCCTGTTCCCTGAGATCTGCCAGGTCCTCCATGAACAAATGCCTTCGTGCACAAGGCACAATCATCATGGGTTATCAGACATCACAGCAAAGATAATATTTATTATTTTTTATCTTGGTTATAATGTATCAACACGTGCTTTGTCTAGACTAATTTAACACTGCCGTACTGCACAATGCTATGGTCTACACACAATCTGTATTATTTTATATTCTAAACAACACTATTACAATACACATGCACAACAGTAACAGTGTCAATGTCAAGGGGGTGTGTTATCTCACCTATTCATAAATGCTGTGGCCAAACCTACGAGCAGTGTCCCAAAAAGAATCGGTTTTGTAAGGCGCTTCCCAGTGGATAGTTTGGTCTGTTTCATGCTGGAAATTGATAGTCTTCGTGAAAGCAGACAAAACAGCTAAAGTCTCCGTGAAACTGTAGTTCTTCTGACATTCACACGGATGAATATATACTGCACATATTAACCCCAAGCATTACTTCCGGCTCTTGCGTTATAAAATAGGTCGCTTCATTTGTTTGAGATATTGTCTTACAAAGTAGAAGGAATGCTCTAAATAATTTACCCAATAATATAATTTTATGTAATGATTTTACTGGTAAGCAGTTTTATGACGAATGAACTTTAGATCAAAGGAACTACAGATGACGGTTAATGCGGGGAAGTATTTACTGACGGACCAGTCGTGTTGAGCAGCTTCAGTGATGGGAAACTCATTGATCACATAGATTCTCTCGATTAAATTAATTTGTATGTATAATCCGAAAATAGACCGTTTATGTGGACGTGATATTTGAATTATAGAAGTTTGTAGCAGAAGCACAAATGACTTTCATCAGCATTATTCTGCACGAGTAAGTCACGTCTGCATCTGCCTCATATATTTTCTTAATTGCTGTTTTTATTGTTCTCTTTGTAGGCTTTAGTATACATTTTTAAATGTTTAGATGTACAGTATAGTATGGTGCATTGACGACATTTATTTCTGGGTCACATTGGACATCTCTCAGTATTACGAACCTTTTTGTCTATATATCCGTCTGCCTGTATTACAAACTTGTAATATAGCTTTACACTGTTATAAAACTGCCTCTATCTAGCTGTCTGTCCGTCCGTCCGTACACGTGGTAATAATAAAACTGATCTCTATCTGTCTGTCTTTCTGCAGGTGTTAAACCCATGTTTCCCACAGTCCATATCTGTAATGGCAAGAAAGAATCGATTTTCTGTGTCTGACAGGTTTGAGTTCCTGCAGGGGCTGGTCACAGAGTTTCAGGACACTGACAGTGAGGGTATGTCAATGCTTGCAGATGCACTGACTACATATATATGCAGAGGTGGAAAGAGTAATAAAATATTCTACTCAAGTAAAAGTACTACTACTTCAATGAAATTTTACTTAAGTACAAGTAAAAGTACTGGTCTAAAAATCTACTCAAGTAAAAGTAAAAAGTAGCTCATTTAAAATTTAAAATCCCCCATGTAGGGTTGTATTAATGGTATGAGATTTTCACAGTATGATAACGTCTCAGAAAATATCACGGTTTACAGTATTAATCAATTATTAAAGGTGCTATATGTATTTTTTAGCGGCCTCTATAGGTGATGTTTCAGATTGCAACCAATTTTTACAAGAGCGCGCGTGCTCGAACACAAGAGCGATCACTCATGGTACCGGCCACACTGATACTTTCAACACACCAGAGAAAGCGTCACACAACATGCTGGAAACTCATGTAAACTCCCACTGCAACGTTACAATAATAGGCTACTTTTATCAGCTTGACGTTGAACTAATGCTCCATGCTCGTACCATGATAACGTTACATTTGTGGTGTTATAGCATAAGGCATTTCACTAACTATTCGTGTATCTTTCACAATCAGCAATGTCAACATAGATGAATGTATAATATGATAACGAAAACGGTTAGTGAACTAGACTGAACAATTTCAGTGTAACAGTAAGACAGTAGGAAGTAACATTACTGTACTGAACGTGTCTGGAAATGTGTATTATAAACAATATGATAGTAGTGGGATGAGTGACGTTAGACAGTAGATCTAGTACATAAAATAAAAGTTACATCCTAAAGCACCTAGTTTTTGTTATCCTGGAACAGTCTTTTGTATTCATTTCATGTCTCATGTATGTTGTAGTTTACCTTGCTATTTCATTATAGTTTAACATTATTTCAGCATATCTGAAAACTTGTCATTTATCACAATAAAAATAGCGGAGGTCTCTCCATAATTCAAACGCTCTGCCGATGTTGATCCGTGTTTTCGTCCTAAGTCGATCCGATTCACGTTTGGCCTGACGAGCTTCAGCAGATACATTTTTGTTTTGTTTTGTTTTTTATATTTTTGTGGAGTTTGTGTTGGAGTATGTGTTGTGCTGGAGGCAGGTCGTTTGTTGGTGTTATCAGACTCCATGTCGTCAGCTGCAGTGCCGTCGCATAGACTGTATTTAAAAAGGAGAGAGGCTCGGGAGCGCGCGTGCACGTCACATCCGATGGATTTCGCAGTAAATCCGACCCGGAGACTTCACATAGAAATAGGAATACCGGCCTTCAGAGGTAATAGCTAAACCCGACAAGTGGATCATTGTAATGTGTGATTACAACCCCTTCACACACAGGCAATAAAAAAAGGATTCATTTTAGAAGAAAAGTTACATATAGCACCTTTAAATAAATAAACGGTATTATTAAATCATGGTTATTATTATCATTAGTTAAAATGACAGTTAAATTAATGAAAACTGGGGTTTTTTTTTGGTTGAACAAATGCTTTTACTATAACAAACTTGAAACCATTTGTTTGTTTTGTTTATTAAAATTTCAATAAAACATGTCTAATCAATTAAATTCAATAATTGATAATGAATTAGATTGACAACTTATTTTTAACATTAATCATTTATTAAAATGTTTAAGAATAATATAGTCCTATGAAATGTATTTTATTCAGAAAATTAATGTTTCTTTTTATGATTTAATCCAAATATGTTATCAAAAACGGTGGTAATCAAATGTAAATTTATACTTTGTGTCCTTTTATTTTTTGGGGAAGTGCTGCAAAAACAGATTTACTAAATTAAACCATGGACAAAAAATGTATATTCCTTTAAATAATGTTTAAATAAAATGTATTATTGTTGTTATTATTATTTTGAGAAGTTCGTTCTATTGTAGGCCTATACCCAGAATTTCTCCTTAGTAAAACCGAACTTTTATTTTGACAGGTTGTAGTGAAGACCCGTTTCAAAGTGTATTTGACAATGGTTTTTCTCAAATAAAATTATGAAAATGCTCATTAGGCGTTCTCTCAGAGCAGCTCTGGAAATGTATTCATGTCCTCACATTGTTTGTGAGACGCTGAAAACACCATGAATGTCACGCGTACTTGAGTATGTAACGTTAGTAGACAAAGCGGCGCAGCTCAGCAGAACAAATATGTTATATATTTACATAGCAGTATTTTTGTGCTTAAATATTCACAGACCATGTCGCGATTGGATTTATTGCACAGTTCTACTTTCCATGTATTCATCCATCCATTATTTTGCGTGTTTTACGTGACATCTGCGTTATGTAAATTCCATTTTCATGACTGGATTCCGGGATTCCCTCTGCATCACGTAAGTCATTCGGCCTTAAGTTACAATCATCGGGACATACCTTTATCTGCAGGAGGGATGGTGTCCTATGTATCCTCCTTTTGCAGCCATTTGCGTTCACATCTTTTGCAAATTGGATATCTATCCTCGAGGACAACCACTCGTTTTTTTCTACAAAGTATTTCCATACTGGCCATAATTCGCTTCATAAGAATTCGAGGGCGCTTTCAGCTCAGCTGGGTATGCGTCACCTTTCTTGCGCGTTTGTTCTCCCGCCCTTCAACCAATCAATGCAGTAGTTTCCGGAGTGTGATTTTTTTCCCCTCCCTTGTATTATTTTTTACTCAGTAACGGACAGAGGTGGAAAGTAACGAATTACATTTACTCGCGTTACGTAATTGAGTAGTTTTTTTGTGTACTTCTACTTTTTTAAGTAGTTTTTAAAATCTGTACTTTTACTTTTACTTAAGTACGTTTTCTTTGAAGTATTGTACTTCGCTACATTTGAAATCATATCCGTTACTGAGTAAAAAATAATAATACAAGAAAAGAAAAAAAAAACACACTCCGGAAACTACTGCATTCATTTAAGGGCGGGAGAACAAACGCGCAAAAGAGGTGACACAGCTGAAGCTGAAACCGAAGCGCCAAGCGAATTATGGCCAGTATGAAAATACTTTGTAGAAAAAAAAAGCGTGGTTGTCCTCGAGGATAGATATCCAATTTGCAAAAAATGTGGACGCAAAGTGGCTGCAAAAGGAGGATAGGACACCATCCCTCCTGCAGATAAAGGTATGTCCAGATTTACGTGAGACCGGGGGGGTCAACCCCGGAATCCAGTCATGAAAATGAAATTTACATAACGCAGATGTCACGTAAAACACGCAAAATAATGGATGGATTAATACATGGAAAGTAGAACTGTATAATAAATCCAATCGCGACATGGTCTGTGAATATTTAAGCTAAGCACAAAAATACTGCATGATGCTGCGCCGCTTTTTCTACTACATACTCAAGTAGTGCTACGCGTTACATTCAGAGTCTCACAAACAATTTGAGGATATGAATACATGAACATTTCCAGAGCTGCTCTGAGAGAACGCCTAATGAGCATTTTCATAATTTTATTTGAGATAAACCATTGTCAAATACACTTTGAAACACTTTTTTACACTTTTGGTCTCCACTACAACCCGTCAAAATAAAAGTTTGGTTTTAGTAGGAGAAATTAGGACAGAAATATATTACTATTATAGGCATACAATAGAACGTAGCCTACTTCTCTAAATAATAATAATAACAACAATAATAATACATTTTATTTAAACATTATTTAAAGGAATATATTTTTTGTCCATGGTTTAATTTAGTAAATCTGTTTTTGCAGCGCTTCCCCAAAAAATAAAAGGACACAATTTTAAATTTGATTACAACCGTTTTTGATAATATATTTGGATTAAATCATAAAAAGAAACATTAATTTTCTGAATAAAATACATTTCATAGGACAATATTTTTCTTAAACATTTTAATAAATTATTAATGTTAAAAATTAAAAAAAGTTGTTAATCTAATTCATTATTAATTATCAAATTTAATTGATTAGACATGTTTTATTGAAATTTTAATAAACAAAACAAACAAATGGTTTCAAGTTTGTTATAATAAAAGCATTTGTTCAACCAAAAAAAAAAATCCTGTTTTCATTAAAGCGGCACTTCACCTCTGGGAAGATGAATGTGTATTTAAAATGGGTCATTTAGAAGAAATGTGAAATTATTTTTGAATTTGGAGCTTTCTAGACTGAGAAAAGCCAGAAAATGTATTTTTGGCTTATGTGGATGAAAGACAACAACTCCCAGAATGCAACTGCTTCGCTGCCCTAGGAGGCCACGCCTACCGGTAACAGAGCGCAGTAGTTAAACAACAAGTCTAGGCTAC